GCAGGCACACAGGGGAGACGCGGAGCAGCTTTTCTCGCCCCGGAGGACACAGGCGGCGGGACCGCAGCGCATCTGGGCGTCCTGCCGCTCCTGTCCTCCGGGACGAGAAAAACCCCGTTCATAACTGCGGATCCGACATAAGTCGGATCCGCGTAACTCGGGGACTGCCTGTAATGTAATTTATTGTGCTGAAGTGAGGAAAATGAGCCGACAATATGAGACTAGCAGGTCACCGACAGGATGGGGCAAAAGAGGCAATTGTTCTGGGTACCAGCCATTCAAAAGGGCTTGGGGCTCCTGGCTGGCAGCTGGAGCCCTGGGTCTCTTTGAATTGCCACCAGAGCACCACATCAGGAGGCTATGAGGGCTGGGAGGGGCCAGTGCTGACTGACTTCGGCCCCGCCCCTCCCGCACCCAGCCCTGCCTTGTCTGGGGGTGTGGACTCACATCCCGTCCTTGCCCTGAAGCCTATGGTGGCTGTCAGTCCTGCAGGAGACTAGCCAGCTCCCTATGGCCCAACAACTGGGAATTTCTGCCTTTCAGTATAGCAAAACTTTCATAAGTGGTTACCTTCAGGAATGTATTGAATTGACTAGGCTTCTTGTTGGGAAGACAAACACTAATAATTCAATCAAAATTATACCATTTTATTACAGGGCTTGACCTTTGCTGTAAACCATGGCCATTGTGATGGACTTAGGGGAGAGGAAAGCTCAGATTTCATGAGGGGATACTAAGTTATCTCAACTCCTGACACTTCACAAGAGGTGAATCCCAGGGAGAGAGAGGAATCATTTCAATGCCAATGCTGACACAAAAACAAATCAATAAAAACTGGCCATCAGCAAGTTTAGATTTGAATTAAATCAAAGTTTCTAACCATCAGAGGAATGAAGGTTAGATACCGCCTTCAAAAGGGGACCAGAGGTGCGGCTTCTTAGCCACTTAAGTGTGGCTTCAAGAGTAAGCTTGATAAGTTTGTAGAGGGGCTGGTATGATGAGACTGCCTATAATGGCATGTAGCTGATCTGTGACTGCTAGCATCAAACATCCCCCATGGCTGGTGATGGGACACTACGGAGAGTTCTTTCCCATGTGTCTGGCTGCTGGGTCTTGCCAAAATTCTCTGGGACAAACTGACCACTATATTTAGGATTGGAAAGAAATTTTCCCTTGGGTCAGATTGGTAGAAACCCAGAGTTGGGGGACATTGTTTCTTCTTAGGGTTGTTTTCTATCTTCTGTAGCATGGGGCATGAGACACTTGAACATTTAACTTAATGTAAATGGTGGAGTCTCTGGAACTTGACGTCTTCAAATCATGATTTGAGAATTTGAGTAACTCAGCCAGAGGTTATAGGTCTGCTACAGGAATTGGGTGGGTCAGGTTCTGTGGTCTCCAAAGTGCAGTCTCAGATAAGATGATCACGGTGATCCATTCTGGCCTTAATGTCTGTGAACTATGATTAATCCCTTGAGCAGTAAGATATCACAAACTTCTTGGGCTGTTAGTCAAATAAAAACAGGCTTTTTCAGTATTTAAATACTTCTTGTTCCATTACCAAACAGAAGTAAGAATGAAGGGGAAGAAGAGATATTCTATCCAAATATTTCATAGCCTAAAATCTTATTCACATTGATTTCAGTTACTGGAACCCATTTATCCTGTGGGTTATTATTTTTAACCAATTCATCTAAACCAGGGCTACTCAACTTTGGAAACCTCGAGGGCCACAATGTTACTCAAAGCACATGCCAAGAGCTGCAAGTTAAGTGTGGTTGCATGTACATGCAAATATATTCTTTCACACTGATGGGCATGAATACACAGATTAAGGCAAGACTACACAATACACAGGCCCCATTTAAGTCAATTCTGCTGATATTAATAAATTGCAATATTTACCCGATTTCCACCCATATGACAGCACCTTTAATGAGCAATGACAGTCCAGGAATTTAACTACTAAAACGTATATCAACAGAAGACCATTATATTGACTATTTTTTTGTTTTGGCTCCCACCCGTGAGTCGCATGTTGAGCCCCGCGTAAACCCAAGCCACACTGCCGGCCGCAAGCAAACAGGCTATGTGTTCAGTAGCCCTGATCCAAACTTTCTGACACTCTGTTTATTTCTATGGATGGAAGGCTTCACCTTGTGTCATGTACCTCATCTATCTTTCTTCCAAAAACAAGGTAAAAATAAAAGGAAATCTGAAAGAAAAACTGGAATGTAACAAACTGCAAGAGGTTAATACTTCAAATCCCGTAAGAGGCATGTACTATTAACCCTATCATGCTCTAAAAGGAGTCTCATCATATTACACATTGGGGGCCACAGGCTTTTAATAAAATTTCACAAATCATCGTATTCCAAACATTTTCCAAGGGCAGATCAAAAAGTTTGGAGTCTTGGAAGGTCCTAATCTAAAATATAGACCTATTGTTTGGGAAAATGTTTCTAAGCCTAGTGTTGTCCTTCATGATATTCAGCAGACACTTAGAGGAGGTTGGGGTTTGCTGTTCTGAGCTGATTTGCTAAGGTTTAGGGTATGTCACATTGTCCTACAAAAAAAGCAGTTGTAGCCACCATGTTGATTTCCATACTCATCAAGATTTTTTTAAATGTTCCATTTTAATTTGAAGATAAAGGTTTTGCTATATTATATAACTGTTCTGTATTGTGCTATTATATCCTGCATATAAGGATGGACTTGTTTGTATCTTTTCTTGATGACTCATGGTAACTGGGCTATTTGTTTTGCTTATTCAGTGCTAGGAGTCTCCATTTTCTTTGGGATCATCATTGTTGTAATTCTCATCTTCATATGTGTCTTTATATGGCGAAAGTCAAGAGTAAGTGTAAACTTTTTATTTTTGTTGTTGTTATATTTTATATTTTTATATATTTTTAATTTTTTCTGTGATGTCTCAGATTTGCAGTGCTTGTTTAATGAGGTTTCACCCACTGCCTGATCTCCCCATGAAAGTCTAGCAGTGGGCAACACCCTTTCAGGATCTATGTATTTGCCTTATAGCTTAATTACACAACACTGCTGGTTAATTCCAGGCTTGTCTGGGGTAATGCTAGTCCGTCGTTTTCAATGCTATCCCCTTCTGAGACATTTTTCTGTTGCCAGGGGGTTCTATATCAACAGATGACAATCCATCTGACCCTAAGTGAACATAGCCTATCCAGATTAGATAATACTCTATAATTGGTTGAGGCTGATAGGCAAGACACATGGAAAGTGAATATGTTGGCACATTAACATGTAAAGCTTTTTATCTATAGCCTTAATGTTAAAAAGTAAATTAATGCTTACTGAAATATTTAAGCATGAACAATTTTAATATGCCACGATATGACTGAAACTGATCAGTGTGAGGAAAAATAGCTTGCAGAGATTAAAAGTAAGACCAACAGATCTTTTATTATTATTTATTATTACAATATTGCCATTTGGTTTCTACAGCCTGAATGTGTACAGCAGTAAAGTTAACATTTCTGTTTCCTGTACAGAGAAGCTCAGTTACCTTGGACCGTGCAGAAGTAACTATTCCCTTAAAATCCATTGACACACAAGAAAGAACCAAGCTCAGGTACAGTGTCCTTTGTTTCATTCTGTTCTTTTGAATTGCCATTACAATAGAGGATGTAGGAGAGTATTTTTTTATGATTGAGCATACTATGTAATCTACTTGTGGCTTCACTCTGACCCTGTAAACCAACATTCTAGAGTTGTGTGCTTCACAGGAGTCCACTTCAACATTTTCTTCTGTTTCAACCAATACAGTTTCATGCCCCAAAAGTATAATTTTTGAGTTTCAGATTAAAAGTCTCAATATCCAAACTTTGACTCAGTCAAAGTCATTTGGCTACAGCACTAGAACCATGAAGAACCAGTGGGACTCAGTTTCATTTCTGGATCCAGACTAATGGGCTTTATTTTGTATTTGACTATATTATACATTACAAGAGAGTGTGTGAACCATCTTATTCTCAATTCACATACATTTTTAATGTTTTCTGTTTTTCCTTGTATCATCTTCAGGTAAAGAGAAGAAATGAAAGCACTCTCACTTAATAACCATTTAAGATGTCACAAAAGGAATTAATAGTGCTGAATCTTCAGGGAAATTAAGACAAATTGAAGTTCAAAGAAATCTATTTAAACACAGAAAATGGCACTCAGTTGTGTAAACCTCTTTTTAAATGGAACATTTAGTATGCCCCCAAATCGAGTCACAGTAATAAGCAGATATTAATTGGTACTGCCTGCTAAAGGTTGAATCTCTCTAGTTCGGCACCCTCAGGATCTGACTGGTTCTGAACCTAATGGTACGGCTAGACTATAAGAGTTTTTCCGGGATAACAGAGGTATCCCAGAAAAACCCTTCTACGCCCAAGGATGCGTTTGCTCTTCTGTTTTGTTTTTTTTCTGGAAGAGCAAACGTGCTCTTTCAAAAGCCCCTGTATTCTTTGTTCTATGAGGAATAAGGGGGCTTTCAAAACAGGGGGGGATTCTGACATTTGGCCCAGTCTCGATGGGCCAAATGTCAGAAAAGCCTCTTCCAACAAAAGGATTGAAAAAAAGCGATGCAAAATGTGGAGCGCATTTTGTGTAGCTTTTTAAAAAAATAACGTGTCAATGTAGCCATACCCAGAGATTTTTCTGGGCCATGGTAGATCAATATTGTCTAGCAGCATTACCTTTCACTGCTTACTGGGCTGTTAGAGGACAGTTAGGGCTAAATTACAGTACAGAACACTGAAAGCCAGGACTGGTAGCTGTGAACAATCTTTGTGTGACCATAGGAAACTTGGCTACACCCATGAAAAGTGGACACTTGACTAACTACAGTCATTCCAGACAACAGATGTTTCTGGACCAGAGAGTTCTGGACTAGAGAGGGTCAACCTGTATCAATCGCTATTCATTTCCTGTTCCCTTTTGACTGTGGAAAAAAGTCATCCTTTTTAGATCCAGTTATCCAAGGGCAAAATTCCACCATTTAGGTACAGATCTGCACAAGCATATAGGGAAATAGGGGAGGCATAATCGCTTTCCAGCATGCAGAAGAAGCATGCCATGGCCCTTCCTTTTCCTTCTCCTCTCTACTTCCTTTAGTGGATTTCTAGCCCTGAGGGTGCACAGCAGGAAGGCGTTATGAAGGGAGCGGTCCCTGTCCTTCTCTGAGTATAGGGCTGGGATCTTTCTACACTCTTATGTGGGAGCCCCCCAAAGAGTGTGGGGCAAACTCCTCATGTCCCCTGCTCCCTTGGATTCATTTTCATGAATAAAACCATTAAAACCAAGGACATGAAGGTATATGCTTAAATTTAAGCGTGCATTTAAGCAATACAGTAAAATTCCAATAGTCGGCATCCAATAGTCCGGAACTCCTGATAGTCTGGCATCAACTGGAACCCAGAACTGCACAGATCAGCCGCTCTCACAGCCGGACCGCTGTGAGCTGCATGCGCACTCACGGCCTGCACCGTTCCGTTCACAGTCCCCAGCGCACACAGCCTCCAGCCTGCATGTGCTAGCAGTCAGCCGCTGAGCACAAGCAGCTGCTTCGGCACCCGGACATAAGGTTGGGGGAGAAGGGAGATTGGGTAACAGCAGGGAGGGGAGGTGTTTGGCTCTGGGGAAGGGGAGGAGAGGGGGATTGGGTTGTGCACGGTGTCCTGGCCAGCTCATTGAAAAGCCGGCCACTCAGCGCAAGTGCCCCAGCGTCTGGAGGGAGATGCACAGCTGTACCAGCAGCTCCGGGACCCGAGCATAAGGTGCGGGGAAGGGGGATTGGGTTGGGAGTATGCCCCCTTATAGTACCTCCTGGTACTCTGGCATATCCGATAATCCAGCACCACCTATGTCCCAAAGGTGCCGGATTATCGGCAGTCTACTGTACATAGCTTGTTTTACAGTAAATGAACTAAGTAAAAGTGAGTCTCAGCACGGTGTATTTCTATTCTGTGCAAAACTGATTGTGATGCATTGTTAAGATTGAAATGTTATGCTCACTGAAAACAGAAAATGTAAAGTTTAGAGCCCAGAGCCTGAGCGAGTGCAAAATGACATAGCTTGCTTGACCTCACCGGAGCCCTATTGATTGACATCAGCTCAGGATCTGGTCGCAGGTTTCCAGAGACACTTTAGCACAGTCTGAGTTTTTTTACCTTTTAATCATAAAACATATACATGTAATAGCACAAAACATTATATTTGTGTATCGAGAGTTATAAAACAACAGCTAGTTTTAACACGAAAGCCTACAATCTTATATGCCATGTTTACAGTTTTACAAACACAATGTAAGAAAATACTGTGGCTTCTTTCCTTTGTATGAAGTTATTATTTGCTAAATAGTATGATTCCAATCAGGTTTGTACGAGCCTAGAAGGAAAAACATCTCTTGTCTTATATGGGCCTGTCCGCCTCTCCCCTCATACCAATATAGATTAAGAAGTTCTCCACTGGAGCGAGCGAAAATATATCTGTGTATACATGCATGATCAGGCCCCTAAATATTCAAGCTGAAAACTCCTGAAAGTAGGAATTGTGGTTTTCTCTCATTCAGCTCCTGTGCTTAATAATCACAATAACCAATCAAAGGTTAGGAATCTTGCATTCCCTGAATTTTATAGTACAATTTAAGAATGTTATTCCTCTATGCTGTTCTGAGGAGGAAGTACTTACTTAACTACTGATGTCCATGGAATGACACATGAGTAAGTACTATGCAACATAGTGCAGAATCTAGTATGTAGTAGTATCTAGCCTCCCTATATAAAGTTGGCATATTAAAAGTGGCAAGGTGAGGCAGGATAACCCAGTGGGCATGGTACTAACCCAGCACTTGGGACACTGGGGCTCAGTTCCCTGTTCCACCCCAGATTTCTTGTGTGGCCTGTAGGTGGGCTTGGATTAAGGGGGGAGGCTAGCTGGGCAGCTGTCTGGGGCACCAACCTACGGGGGGCGCCTGATGGCAGCTGCAAGGGGCACCGTGTGCCTGGCCATGCGGCGCCCCTTAGAGCTGCCATCAGGCGCCGCGTGCCCGGGGCCCCAGGCGTGCGGCGCCTGATGGCAGCTGTAAGGTGCTCCGCGCGCCGGAGGGCAGGGCCGCACATGCGTAACACGCCCGCTGCCCAGGGCGCAGGAATGGCTCGAGCCAGCCCTGCCTGTAGGCAAGCTATTAAGTCTCTCTAGGCCTCCATTTTCTATATGTGGACTAGGAATAATAGCAATTCCTTACCTCACAAAGGTGTTGGGAGGATAAAAATTGAGGTAGGTGCTTTGGCAAGTGTCTTGCATAGGAAACAGAGGTTTTGGACACTTTCCAAATCTGCTCAGACATGAAGTTGAGTTAAATCAGCTTTCAATCAGTAATTAGCATTCTTGAGGATGCAAAATCTAAAGCAAGATATTCTTTGTGTGAGAGAAACAGAAGATTAAATCTGCACCATTGAGGGCAAAAGGAATTTTACTATTGACTTTGGTGGATCGGGATAAGACTGATAATGGAAAATGTTAGGCACATTTTTTCTTACGTGCTAAATGAAAATTTTTTGTATAAATGTGTTCTGAGTTAAGGATGAGCTCATTACAAGAATTTTGTTTCACTCCATTCTGACTAAGAATTGCAATTATAATTGCTCTTCCATTCCACAAAAAGAATAATAAATTACAAGTTTTAGAAGAGTAGTCTCTCATTTTGTTTTTGCTTGATATAGACATACTCAGTAGATTTCAGAGTATTGGGTTAAAGAAATGTCATAGCCATTTTGAATTAATTGAAAGTTAAGCCTATGCTTAAGTTTTTTCCTAGACTTTGTTCCCCTGTACAGTCTCATATTGCTGGCTGAATGTTGCAGAAGCTGGTTCACAGCTATTAGTTCATGTATCAGCAGTTCAGATCAGCCATATTTGTGATCTTTCTTATTTATTGTTCCTTAATATTAGTGTGAGTGGTATTTTCCATTTGTAAATGTTTCTGGAGTGCCTGTTCTTTGTGTGAACAATATTATTTGTGTGCTAAAAGGAGTATTTGCTATTCAATATTTGGTGTCTACCATTTGTTAATGTCCTGTATAAAATGTTTGTCACCCAATGAGCAATCAGAATCAATGCTATGTGACTCAGGTGGTCAATTACACACCATGAATAATGAGTACCAAATAGTTCAACAGCTCAGAAGTTGAGAATGGTTTGCCCTCACTATTTTGTTCATGGAAATGTTCCAATATGTCATGTACACTAGGAGAAATCTAGATCAGTCTGTGAACAGTTAGAAAAATGAAGAGAAAAAGAATGCCAGTCCTTTGTCAATAAAATAATTCAGCCAGCTCTAGCAACAAAGCCAACTTTTTCTAGGCAGTAAGTATGGGTAAAAGATTTGTGCCTGGCATACAACTTTTTCACAGGCAGTAAGTATGGGTAAAAGATTTGTGCCTGGCATTTCTTGACAACTGTATGTACCATGTTATCTTAAATAAAGCATTCTTAGCAGAACGGAAGGAATCAACAGTTATTCCCAAAAGGTGATCAATCTACGGCATTTATATTCATCCCCATCCCTAAGAGTTTCAAATAGAAATGATATCACTACAGCTGTCCCAGCTACGGGTGGATCCTTAGTATTCACAAAGCAAGAGTACAACTGAAAGTTACACAGATGTTTTACAACCCAGCAATGATCTAGACCAACAATTTTTTTTCATAGACGTTCCTAATACACCCATCACTGCAACAATTAAATGCCCAGAGCTACAAACTGTACCAGAATTTATAAAGAATGCATTCCCTCTTAAGGCCAGGGTGATTATTTGTGGGGCCTACTTTGAATGGAGTGCTGTGGTCTGGGCCACTAGCGGCTGCACACCAGGCCAGGGGCTCCAGCTCTGCCTGGGTGGGGTTCTGGCAGCTGCTCCCCCGTGGCACAAAGAGCTCCCAGACCAGCAGCACAGGGAGCCGGGACGTCTGGGATGCCATTGCCACCAGCACTTGCAACAGGCTCCTCCTCTTCTCCATGGGCTGGGGACCCCACCGGCGGAGGGGACGGCCACTGCCATGTGCAACCCGCATCTTTGGGATGTGCTTCAGGTACGGTGTGCCGTCTGGGCAGGCAGGGCCAATAAAAAAGTGTGGAGCCATGTGTGAGGAAACTGACTTTAAATGCCTCGCACCAGCCCTGCCCCCTCTGGCTTGAAATTTAAGGGATTTTTTAAAAAACTTGCTGTCTGAGATGTGGGGTTTGGGGTTTTGTTTTGCTTTGATCTACAATTGTTGCAGGTAGGAGCACTGTAACTGAAAGAGTATAGGAAAAAAGTTTGTATTTCTTTTGGTTGTTTTGTGCATTTCACAGTATTTTGTGTGGCTGAAACTGTATAGTTAGCTACATGCTCAGCTCTGCGAACACTGATACTCCTGCT